TAGTCAGGTATTACCCTCACACCAAATCAGTCCTACCTGGTCCCTATAGTCAGGTATTACCCTCACATTAAACCAGTCTTACCTGGTCTCTATAATCAGGTATTACCCTCACACCAAACCAGTCCTACCTGGTCCCTATAGTCAGGAATTAACCTCACACCAAACCAGTCCTACCTGGTCCCTTTAGTCAGGTATTACCCTCACACCAAACCAGTCCTACCTGGTCCCTATAGTCAGGTATTACCCTCACATCAAACCAGTCTTACCTGGTCCCTATAGTCAGGGATTACCCTCACACCAAATCAGTCCTACCTGGTCCCTATAGTCAGGTATTACCCTCACACCCAATCAGTCCTACCTGGTCCCTATAGTCAGGTATTACCCTCACACCAAACCAGTCCTACCTGGTCTCTATAATCAGGTATTACCCTCACACCAAACCAGTCCTACCTGGTCTCTATAATCAGGTATTACCCTCACACCAAACCAGTCCTACCTGGTCCCTATAGTCAGGTATTACCCTCCCACCAAATCAGTCCTAACTGGTCCCTATAGTCAGGTATTACCCTCACACCAAACCAGTCTTACCTGGTTCCTATAGTCAGGTATTACCCTCACATCAAACCAGTCTTACCTGGTCCCTATAGTCAGGTATTACCCTCACATCAAACCAGTCTTTCCTGGTCCCTATAGTCAGGTATTACCCTCACTCCAAACCAGTCTTACCTGGTTCCTATAGACAGGTATTACCCTCACATCAAACCAGTCTTACCTGGTCCCTGTAGTCAGGTATTACCCTCACAGCAAATCAGTCCTACCTGGTCCCCATAGTCAGGTATTACCCTCACCTTAAACCAGTCTTACCTGGTCTCTTTAATGAGGTATTACCCTCACACCAAAACAGTCCTACCTGGTCCCTATAGTAAGGTATTACCCTCACATTAAACCAGTCTTCCCTGGGCCCTATAGTCAGGTATTACCCTCACAGCAAATCAGTCCTACCTGGTCCCTTTAGTCAGGTATTACCCTCACAGCAAATCAGTCCTACCTGGTCCCCATAGTCAGGTATTACCCTCACCCCAAATCAGTCCTACCTGGTCACTATAGTCAGGTATTACCCTCACCTTAAACCAGTCTTACCTGGTCTCTTTAATCAGGTATTACCCTCACACCAAACTAGTCTTTCCTGGTCCCTATAGTCAGGTATTACCCTCACATTAAACCAGTCTTACCTGGTCTCTATAATCAGGTATTACCCTCATACCAAACCAGACTTATCTGGTCCCTATAGTCAGGTATTACCCTCACATCGACCAGTCAAACTGATCAGCTTTTACCCTCAAATCTGTAGCTGGTTATTGTTGCACACTTGTGAGGAGAACCTTCCATGTTTTACTTATCTGTATATCTAACATTACCGGTAGTATTTTTTTTTTTAAATCCAAACTATACACTAAGAAATATAATTGGTTTTATTTTAAAAATTTCAAGGAACCACCTTTATAAAAATTCATTAATGCAGATGTGAATCAAATACATTTTTAACTTGGTGGTAAAAACATGTCTATTTACGCTACATTCATGTGATTAGCTGAACATTAAAGATATATTCTTGTTCTCTTCTAGTGAGTAACCCCCAAGGAAGTAGACAACCAGATGAGACATCAAGGTGAGCTGCCTGCTCCGGGTGTAATGTGACCGTCACACAGCAGTGCTGACCTGCAGGGGACACTATCTACTCACAGGAAAACATTGAACCAGTCAGACATGTCAAGAAGATAAAATTTTCATAATACTAGCTACATACTGTCCACCTGCCTGTGGTAGGGCTTTCTCTGATTTACTTTATATGTATAAAAGTCTTCTTTTTTTTTTGGTGGTCATACTTGACATCAAAGATATAACAAAAAGTGGATCAAACACATGTACTTCTGTTAGATCTCAATGTGTAGCTCCCAGTGATTTGTGTTAGTATGATGTAAAATCAAAAACAGCAAAAAATAGCTTATTATTTATGGGACACTGTAAACTTTGCCATGTAGCTGTAGTGAGCCGCCAGTCTCCAGCTTATTTTTTACATCTTTACAGGTCAATAACACAGGACCATCATGTTTAGAGGGTGAACTTACATGGGGAAAATTGGAGATTTCAAATATCGCTTCAGGTTTATCATAGTCTTTCTACTGCTTCAGATTGTATATACACGTGAAGCCAGATGCATACCTTGTGGAAAAGCATACAGGTACAAATTTAGCTAGGTTGAAAATATCATGATGTTATGTGATCAGCCATGTTTCTGGGTGTAGATCTATATGTATCATGTACCTTATAGAGACAGGTGCCCCAAGCAGGTGCTAATACCTGATCCTCCATGATAGGTGTATCACAATAATTTCTTAGCTATTTTTAAGCATTTAATCCTGCTCATAAGACACGTAATATATATATATACACCAGATGATTACGTAAGACGATGAGTGATATAGAGCGGCCTAAAGCAAGGATTTACTATTTTAGTACAGCCTAAACATGTTCTCTAGATAATTTAAATCTTGGATCCAAAATATACTCTTATCTCACATTTGTTTCTATAGGTTCTTGATCAAAGTTTTGTGTCAATTATTTTCCCATTCATCTCTTCTGAATATTTGTTAAAACAGATTTCAAAATGAATGTGACATATGTTGGTCTACTAAACCCGTGATATAAGAAACTGAAATAATACAAATATTGCGTGTTTGTTGTAACCTGTTCACATCAACATTATCGCAGGGAAGGTAACGAGTCTTACAAAACCAGAGGCAACCACACGATTATTGTAAAGTGTAAAAACATATTGTGGAAAAAAATCAGATTTTATTTTATCACTTCAATAAAAAATATGTTGATCAAAATTTCTCTTTGGTGTGGAGAAAACACTGGATGCAAACGCTGTTGATATAATATTTTGTTTTTTGTTTTTGTCGAAATCAATGACTATTTGACTCTTGAGGGCTAACTCGGATAATTCGAGCATAGCAAATACAGGATAAAACAAATTTAAATATTGAATCTTGTAAAACATTAACACCATCAGAAGATAGATTATAAACAGAATTCTTACAAGATTTATTTCCGTTTGTGTGAAAACAAGGACTTGAGTTTTTACCTCTTGTATATAAAGTTATTAAAAGTTATTATCATGTATGCTGTTGCTTCTCTAAAAAAGCGTTGTTATATATTTGCAAGTTCATATGTAAATTTTGATGTCAAAGTTAAATTTTGTACAGAAGATGTAATTATATCCAGTTTTAACATTAATCATTAACATTTTATATCATTGTTGTTATTGTAGATTATTCCTTAGTAACAAAATCAACCAACCCTTCAAATAACAGGAAACTCAGAAATTCTGAGGGAAAATCACAGATCAAATTATTTCAGGAGAAGGAAATGGCTATGAAATAATTATTTGTTAACATTCAAAATGATTGTTCAATTATCTCATGAATATATACTGCATTGAAAATTGTGATAATGAATTTCCATGTTTTTGTAAGATGACTGAATGATTTTTAGTGAACTTCATAAATCATTTATTTTACTTATTTTACTTATAGTGCTTTTTGTAATTTACACACATAATCAGATCATTTTACATGTGTCATCTTCTCATATGTCGTTGTGCTCATATGTTTGTGTGGGAATTGTATGTGTGTATATACATACAGTATGTTACCCACCAGAAATCATGTTTCACATGTGAAAGTCAGATATTCCTGTATAAGTACTGTTTACTGTATACCAGAGACATACAATGATTTTATACAACTCTACATAAACACTCGTTATTAATTTGTCGTTGGATTTTGGTTTTGAGAATTCCATGTTTCTTCACATGTACAAAAAGATGTGTCATAGTTTGTGTCCATGTGTGGTTCATGAGAGTTTCTTGTGTGTTTGCTCATATGGGATTTTATCATATGGTCTGGCGAAATTTCAGTGTAATTATAATACATCAATTTTCTATTACCGCCCATTGTGACGTTCCAAGATGATAAAAATCACAGGGGAAAGGCAAAAGTAATGGCATTTTTTCTTCATTTTTCAACTTAGTTTTGTGCTAAAATGTGTTCCTTTACTTTATTATGTAAATCATACGATAAAAAACAAATCTCAAAGAAGTTTTCATTCCGCAAGATGTTTATGGAACTTGCTGAAGTTTGTTTCATAAATATTCTGAGTGTGTAATGGAAACCGACCTGAGATCCTTTGTCTCCATGACAACTGTGGTTTACATTGATTGTACAGTGACATGGTGTAATCACACAGAAAACAATCCAACTAAATGTAACCACATGTAAATGATATGTTCTGCATACATTTCTATGAAGTGTCTGTTTTCACATATGAATTTCACATGTATCTGTGTACAGTACTATTACACATACGTGAGAGAGGTTTGAGAGTATAGCATCACTACAATCTAGTTAATTAAGCAGATTTTGATACACTATCTAATCTGTATCACCAAATAACCAGAAACAATTATAGGGCTAACATTAAACCCCTGGCCCTCAAGTCTGAGGAGTGGGTATTAAGGTCAGGGTTCAACATTTAACCCCTGGCCCCCAAGTCTGAGGAGTGGGAAGTAAGGGAAGGGTTCAACATTTAACCCCTGGCCCCCAGGTCTGAGGAGTGGGTTTTAAGGTCATGGTTCAACATTTAACTCCTGGCCCTCGGGTCTTAGGAGTGGGTATTAAGGTCAGGGTTCAACATTTAACCCCTGGCCCCCAGGTCTGAGGAGTGAGTATTAAGGTCATGGTTCAACATTTAACCCCTGGCCCTCAGGTCTGAGGAGACCGTATTAAGGTCAGGGTTCAACATTTAACCCCTGGCCTCGAGGTCTGAGGTGTTGGTAGTGAGGTCAGGGTTCAACATTTAACCCCCAGGCCGTCAGGTCAGTGATAATGTTTAGTGGGTGGGGGCCAACATTTAACTCCTTGCCTATCGGCCTGAGGAATTTGTAGTGGGGTACGGTTGGGGTTCAAAATATCTAGCAACCAGGTCTGACCTGAGGCGTGGATAACATTAGGTTAGTGTCTGGTTGTAAACCTAGGCCTTCAGGTTTGGGGTGTTGGTGATGAGGTCAATGGGTCAAGACTGAATCCCAGGTCTGACATAAACAGCTCACCTCTATAATTGGGGTCAGCAGTAAATCAGGGAGTCCAACATTAAACCTCTTGTCTCCTATTTGAAGTGTGGGCAGAGGTCAGGGCATCAAATCACTAGCTCCCAGGTCTGGGGTAGTGAGGTCTGGGTTAGGGGTTCATAATTAAACCAATTAAAAGGTCTGCGTTAAGGTCGCAGGTCGTCAACATTTCAACTCCTGTCTCCCAGGTCTGAAGTATTGAGGTCTGAGGTTAAACTTAAACCCCTGACCCTGGGGTCTGAGGTAGTGAGGTCAGAGGTTAAACTTAAGCCCCTGACCCCCAGGTCAGAGGTTAAACTTAAGCCCCTGACCCCCAAGTCTGAAGTAGTGAGGTCAGGTCAGGGTTAGGGTGTAATTCATCTTAGGTAATACTACTCATGTTGTATAGCACTATAATGCTCATGAAAATAAACTACTAACAAATGAGTTTCGACTTTTGTTCTACTTTTCTTATTGATTTCTCACTTTTGAATATACCATAAGAAAGTAGGTATGTTGTATCTCGACTTTGGCTAGCACTTGATGTTTGTTATCACTACAAGATCTCTTATTATTTATTTATCTAATTGCTCATTATGTAAAATGATTCATATTTATAATGAGATATTATATACACTTCTGGGACATCTTGTAAATTATCAGACAGCTTAAGTGTCTTTGTTCAAGGGTTTGCTAATATAGTTCATATTCATTTTGATAACTATCAACAAGCATCATGGAATATGTCTAAATGAACCGTCGCTACATACCATTATAAATGAAGTTAGAAATATGCATTTCAATCCATAAATTCCATCACTGTAACAATATTCCAATACGACAGAATTTGCTGAAAGGAAGTGAATGAATATTTCCTTTACCTTCTCTTGCCAGGTTATTTTGGTATGAAATATTTGGTTAGAAAGAAATTTGTTCATAAAAATCCTAAGTCGTTGGAGATCATTTGTTTATGATAGGTGGCTCGCCATCGGGCATTATAGCATTGCAGATTCCAAGGAACGGCTGTATTCCCTTTATCTCTAATCGGAAACAGATGCATACTGTCGCTTACAAGCAAAATGGGAATGACGTCACAAATCCACAATAATATTTTGATATTTCAGTATTTTTAGCTCACCTGGCAAGAAGGGCCAAGTGAGCTTATCCCATGGTGCAGCGTCCGGCGTCCGGCAACTTTTTCCTTTAAAATGCTACTTGTCCTGAATGGCTCAGAGGATTTTGACCAAATTTGGTCAGGAGCATCATTGGCCAAAGGGTTCTCAGTTTTGTATAAACGGAGGGTATAACCCCCCTGGGGGCAGAGGGGCGGGGC